TGCCTCACTTTGTGACGGTGACTGAGAGTCATCCATGCCCTCGTCCACTGGTTTGGACTTATTTTCCAAACCCAATGAGTCACCACCCCTATTTGGCCATCTTCCCTAAACAGCCAGAACACCATCAGGACCATAGCCTCTTTCAAATCACGCCATTACAACAATAAAAATGTACATTAAAGTGCTTCCTGTGCAGAAGATGCTCCAAACGTTACGATCCAGCATACTCTTTTACCACGTCTCCCAGCAACTTTGAGGGACTGGCTGGTGCTTTCATCTGTGCCTGTGAAACTGTCTTCCCTAAGCAAAGCTGACTTTACGGCTTTAAATTCTTGAGTTGTCCACTTACGTGACGTGAGCAAACACACTTTATTCAGTGATTCCTGATGTGGCACAAAAGAGAAAGTTAGCCACTGTTTCCTTTCGATGGTGTCCCCCACTCCAACCCCACACACACACACACACACACACACACACACACACACACACACACACACACACACACACACTTTGTAGAAACAATAAAATGCTTCTTTCTAAAGAGGTATGACTTTTTCTCAAGGCCCAAGATTAGGAAGGGAAAGAGGGCCATGGCTTTGTGAACCACTTAGCATCGTCATCCAACCATTAAAAATTCTGTAGGACGTTTTGACTTGGTGTCTTCCTTGCTGTTGACAAGAAAACCACTTTCTGGGATTCTTGACTATTGTTTCTAGAACATACTGGAAGATTCTCTTAGCTCTCAGAGAGAGCTGTCCCTTCCTCCTTCACAGATGCACTCTGGCCTGAGCAGCTGACGTGTGCAATCATTAATGTGCACCCAGGTGTTTTGCAACCAGCTTTCAGGAGTCACACTACAGTTTGGATCTGGAGTGCCCACACACACACAAAGGCCCATGTACTGAGGTTTAACCCTCACTCTGGCATTGTTAGGAGGTGGTTGAAACTTTTAAGAGGAGAGGCCTAGTAGGAGGTTGTGTAGTCCTTGGGGACATGTCCTCAGAGGAGATAGTGGAGCCCTGGTCCCTTCTTCTCCCCCTTCTAACATCACCTGGCCATGTGGTCAACTGTTTGCTTCACCATGATGCTTCTGCCTTGCTATACAAGTTCACAAGCAACAGGACCAACTAGCATGAACGAACACCTCCAACACCATGAGCCAACGTGAACCTTTCTTCTTTTTAAATTTGATTGTCTTGGGTATTTTGTTGTAGTAATGGGAAACTGGTAACACAGGGGAAATGGGCATTTGCCCATTTTTATGGTACTGATTACCCTAACAATGGCTCCTCTCTACCTATCCATGTGATATCACTTAAGTAGGCTACAGAATGAGATATATACAGCTGACTCTCACAAGCTGCCTCTGACCTGGATGTTTATGTATATCTGTAAACGGATATACACACCTATCACTTAAGCAATGTGTTCAGACTGCCACAGACTGAAAAAGAAAGTGGTACATACCAAGGAGATAAGGATTCAGAAAGTTAGTCTAGAGTCCTCAATTCCAGGTGTTCACATGCTAAGCCAAGGAGATGACTTTCCTGCGTCCATGACTGCTGTGTCCATGAAAGCCCTAAATCCACAATCTACAGAGGTCTTATCTCTGGAGGAAAGTAGGATAGGAAGAGAACGGGTGAACAAAAACATGGAATGCTCACAGTGTTTTGAAGTCAAAGCCAATGTCCTTGCTAAGGGCCATGAGGTCAGGTGCCTTCTCTCTCTCCAAGTGTCTGCTCTACCTGGTCAGAGAACTCCAAAAGAGTTTATGTTGGCTAAAAGACACAGAGCTAGCTGTAGAGGAGGCCCGGATGCTGTCTGAGATGAAGCACCTCTGACCCCTACTGGCTGTTAGAGTACATTGCATCTCTAGATGACCAAGTCTCAGCATGTAACTTTTTTCCAGCCAAAGGGCTGGACCTACCTAGTGCTCCTCTTGACCGTTGTTGTTGTTATTGTTGTTGTTGTTGTTGTTGTTGTATTTCTCCTCTGGGGTGGTAGGTAATTCTACTGTCACTATATAGTGGACAGAATTCATTTGAACAGAAAATGAGCCTAGAGAAAGTCTGAAGGTTTTACATGTGTGGTTGGTTTTCATTTTTCACTGTCTGTTTCTTTTGCTGGTGAAACTTCAGGCCCCACTACTTTGTTTAAGACCTCCCTGAAGATTTCAGTGCCAGACATGGAATTTTGCCCATCAACTTATTAGTCAGAGAGGTCCCAGAGGTGCCCCAAACAGCAAAAGCTATTGCCATTGGTACTGGTTGCTAACATAACTAAATGGAAAAACTCTATTGCTGAAGACACCATCCACTTTTGTTGTGAAATCAGTCTCAAACTGATCAGGATATTCTTTCCCTGCTGCCTAGCTTTCATAGTGCTGGAGGATGTTGTATAACTGGCTGGGAGAAAGGAAACACATCAGTGGTCTTACCCAGTGCTAGACCCTGTATGTTACAATAACCCGCTAGCAAGTTGTGCCCAGTGGAACAGTAGTGTCCCAGCAGGGATGGGGGTAACCAATGACTTTCTGATTGGATTTGAGATCTGTTCCATTGGAGGGATTTCATGTCTGGTACTGAAACCCAGTCAAAAGCCTATGACTAAGGAGATCGTAGGTTCTAGAGGGAGACTTACTGGTGTTTCTCTAAATGGTCATGTGTCCAGCTGCCTTCTCATTATTTATGTTTAGACTCGTATTTGTGCTGCTCTCAACCCAGGTCAGAGAAGTTTCTTTCTTTGCAGTGGGCAGTAAATTGGTTCAAAGACTCAAACCTGGTCCAAGTGCTGAGATCAAGTGACCACAGGAGTTCAGCAGTAGACGGATCATCTACATCAAACCTACCCCCCGCCCCAACTCACAGCAGTTCAGGCTGCCTACACAAGACCTGTACAAGATCGAGCCAGCCAAAACTCCAGCGTGGATAGAGAGCAGCTTGCAAGGACACATTCCTAACACCGGAGCTGCTGACAGCTGATGGTTGTTGAGGGACAGTCTCTTCTTGGGAGGAATGTAGCCAATAGTGTGCTGTGGTCCGTGCCCTACGTTACGTCCACATTCTTAGGCACAAATTGAACTTAGGGAGTTATTAGTAACATTGTTACTCATAATAAGAGATGACATGAAATTGGGAGGAAGATGGGTTGGTAGTGTCCCGAGGGAGTTTGAGAGAGGGAGTAAGGAGCGGATATGACTACAGGACATTGGACACATGTATCCATTTTTCAAAGATTAAATAATATATGTCCCTCCACCACCTATTCTGTGGTGGCATTGTCACTCATGGCATGTGCGCGCTCGTGATGTCCATGGTAGAGCAAAAGCACTAAACATAGCAACCAAACAAGCCTGGGCCGGGCACTGGATCTCCACAGGGAGTGAAAGCAGTCGGTGAAGCCTGGAGCCAGAGTCCTGGAGACAGTTAGGAAGCTCCATCTATGGGTGTGCTCAGAACCTGATTCCATTCACCCATTCTGCTATTTCTAAGGCATCCCTCACCCTAGTACTTACCACGATGGTTAATCTCAGTTCTCCTGCCTCTGCCTCCTAAGTGCTGGGATCACAGGCCTCCAGCATCACACCTAGCATCTTTCATCATTTCCCATCATGGCCTGACTGAGACTCCTCTTTACTGAACAAGGATCTTCTTGCTTCTCTGGGTGTCAGTTTTCAGCCACAAAATCCAGGCTTTCTTCTTAAGAACCGCTTTCTGCTCCTGTTTCTCACGGCCAGCCGGGAACCCCAGGGCATTGCTCAGACAAAGTGTGGGATTAGGCTATTCGGTGTGGTGAAAGAGGCATGGCTTTCTTAGAGAGGTGACATTTAACCCCCAGGCTTCCCAGTGCACACATAAAAGACTGGAGAAACGCAGCTGGTCTCCAGGGGCCACAGGTGCCCTCATCTTCTTTTGGGGTAGAGACGATATTTGCAACCATATCCACCCCTGGCAGGAAGGAAGCAAGCTGTGTTGATTCTTTTGAGAATAGAGAAAACTAAAGAAAAAAGGAGGAGAAGGAGGAGGAGGAGGAGGAGGAGGAGGAGGAGGAGGAGGAGGAGAAGAAGAAGAAGAAGAAGAAGAAGAAGAAGAAGAAGAAGAAGAAGAAGAAAGAGAAAGAAAGAGAAAGAGAGATCACTTTACTGAATTATCCAGTGTTGGTATCTGTGATTGCTATTTTTATGTTTAACCTGATTGGATCAAGAAAAACCTTGGGGGCGGGTAGAGAAGCACCCCTTAGAGAAGCATCACACAGAATGTGTCTGTGATGGCATTTCCAGACCCTTAGATCATGAGGGTTCTCTTGTAGTCAATAGATGAATCCCTTGAAGGATTCATTATACAGCAGCATTATCAAGAGATAGTGTAAGGTAGAAGGTAGGGCCTACTCAAAGGAACTAGGTCACTGAGAGCATGTCCTCTGGAACTGTATCTGCCCTGATCTCCTTCCTCTTTCCCTGTCCTCAGTGAAAAAGATCTTCCGCCACCATGATGTTTAGCCCAAGTGCATGAGGCCAAGCAGACATAGACAAATACCTCTGAAACCAGGAGCTTACTTCTCACTCCTTAATAAAAGCTACCTCCCTCTTAGGTACCCACCCCACATGAAAGCTCACTAATATGACAGCGAGCCAGGGCTGGGTGGAGGAGGAAATGGAGGAATTCAGAACCAACTTGTGTTCATTATATTCTCTCAGTTGAAAAACTTTACAAATGTCCTATTTTTCTCCATCAATATTATTTTGCCTTTTGAGCATTCCTCTGCTTGTCTTGTTGCTTCCTGACCTGTAATATCCAAAGTGTAGTGTAGATGTAACCAACCGTCTTATTAAATAAGAAACACAGAGTCAATACAGAGATGAAAGCCAAGAGGTCAGAGCTAATAGCAAGCCTTAGCAGAAGCTGGGCGGTGGTGGTGCACACCTTTAATCCCAACTCTTGGGAGGCAGAGCTGAGCGGATCTGTGTGTTCAAGGATACAGCCAGCACGGAGACACACGCCTTTAATCTCAATACCAACCATAGAAGACCTGGAGGTCTGTACAGACAGACAGTGACTAGGAGGTCATGTGGTTGGGTTTACAACCAATGAGAAGGCAGAACAGAAACACGCCTTTAATCCCAGAAAGCGAGCCTTTAATCCAAGGGAGTGAGGGTAGAAAGTAGAAAGGTATATAAGGCGTGAAGACCAGAAACTAGAAGCATTTGGCTAGTTAAGCTTTTAGGTTTTGAGCAGCACAGTTCAGCTGAGAGCCATTCGGATATGAGGACACAGAGGCTTCCAGTTTGAGGGAACAAGATCAGCTGAGGAATTGGCCAGGTGAGGAAGCTGTGGCTTGTTCTGTCTCTCTGATCTTCCAGCATTTCACCCCAATAACTGGCCTCAGGTTTGATTTTATTAATAAGAACTTTGAAGATTCATGCTACAGTGTAGAAAATAAATTCTGCCTCAATAAATATCTGTTAGCACCAACAAACTACTCTGAATGGAACCTTGTCTAGTGAGTAGTGAATGGACAGCTTTATCATTTCTTGGCACATGGCTATGTGACCCTCAGCCAGTGTCTAGGTAGATCCTCTATTAAAAAAATTTAAATCTTGAAGGTGAATTTTACTTTATAATGCTAAGAAAGAATGGTTAATATGTTTTAAAAAAACATGGTGTATCTGTCATGTTTAGAGACTATACAAGGCAGTACAAAGACTTTCAACAGGCATTAAGCATGAACTCTGAATCCTAAATTTGACTACCCACTCAGAAAGAAGAGGCATAATCAAAAGCCATAAAAAGTACCACATAATCTGTTTGATGCTAACGTTAGCTGCTGAGTGCTGGGCATTTATTTTGTCCCATCCTCTGTACCAAGTGTTTTCTAAACTTTATCTCTTTAAATCCCTAGATTATCCTTATGAGGTTGAGACTATTATTATTCTCATCGCAGGGATGTGAAAACCTATGCAAAGTTTAAACAACTTGTCAGGATTTCATTTCGAAGTGAAACCAGATCCTGCCCTTAAACATCAGGGGATCTGCCTTGCCAGGAAGCTCACAGCATGGGTTAGCAGAGCATGCTTAGAACTGGAGAATAGATGAGGCTCCTGGCTGGAGAAAGGTTCTTCTGGGGAAAGAGAAACTCAGAACATGCATGGCCGGCAAGTGAGAATTATGGGTCACCTGGGTTCCAAGAGTGGACCGGCTGCCTGCTGCAGACCCTTCCTTCAGGGACACTAGCTGGCAAGTAGCAGTGGCCATTAGTAAAACTGAGTTGAAGTCAGGTCACAGGGTGGTTACCCTGAAAAATCACCCCTAGAGACTGGCGTCATAGAATGTAAAATATAAGCTGATTTGTTCAATGATTCTCTGTAAGAGGTTACAAGGCATGAGGTTAAGCTGTGGACAAGACATTCCAATAAAAAGTAAGAAAGTTTCCTGGGACCTAGCTAAACCCTAGCCCTGAGTTTCTTACAATGTAGTCCTTATCAGGGACTATCAAACACTAAGGTGTTTTTCTACTTTGGATCAGTCATCTAAAATGACCATCTTGGGTAAATTCTATACAAAGTCCTTTCCATATGGCTTTCATCCTCATAAGAGAGCATAGGAACCATCATTACCATCACCATCATCAACCACAGCTGTGTTACAGATAGGGAAATGGAGGTTCAGGGGTGCTGAGTATTGGACCTAGAGCTTCACACATGCTAGGTGTCTTAGTTAGGGTTTCTATTGATGTGAAGAGACACCATGACCACAGCAACTCTTATAAAGTAAAACATTTAACTGGGGTGGTGGTTTACAGTTTCAGAGGTTCAGTCCACTGTCACCATGGTGGAGAGCATGGCAGCATGCAGGAAGATGTGGTGCTGGAGTAGTAGCTAAGAGTCCTACATCTTGTAGACAGCAGGAAGTCAACTGAGACACTGGGTGGTATCCTGAGCATAGGAAACCTCAAAGCTCGTCCCCACAGTGGCACACTTCCTCCAACAAGGCCACGCCCACTCCATTAAAACCACATCTAATAGTGCCACTCCCTGTGAGATGATGGGGGCCAATTACGTTCAAACCACCACACTAGGCATGTACTCCATCACTGAGTGCTCCCAACACTGCTCCCTAAATGGCTTTACAGATGCTTCTCAAATATCACCAAGTCCAAGTTCAAACCCCAGTATTCTGCGAACATCAGCTGAGATGAGAGACTGCAAGGATAAACTTAGTAGAGGTGATAAATGTAGGTGCCAACAGTACCTGTGCTAACTGTCTTAACATTTGTAATGGAGTGAGTGCGTACAAAACATCCAAGAGCCATTTTCAAGAGTAAGAAGTCAGTTCAAAGGCAGCTTATTTCATTTCTCACTCCTTGCATGAGAGTAAGTGAACAAGGTCAGCTGTCGTCAGTCCTTCAAAACGGGCCCCAAAGAGATGAGTGATGATTTCCACAGTTTGCCATTAAAATAATTCCTTGCGCTTTGTAGGAGTGCTGACTGATACAAGCCTGCCACCTGCTGGCGCCAAGCAGAACTGACGCCAGATTCCAAGGGCACGCGTGATCGGGCTATCTAACGCGGCTATCTCCTTACACTTACATGTACAAACACCCCGTCACCGCTCACAGCCAACCCCACGTTTAATGAGCGAAGGCTGATGAAATCAAACACAAAGGAAGATTTTTAAGAGAAGACGTTATGAAGGATTTGCAGGCAGCAGCGCCGGAGTCCTAAGCTCAAGTCATAACGGGCCCGGGGTAAAGTACTAAAACTCTCCGAAACTTCAGATTCCTCGTCTGTGACGCGAACCTGGATCTACATCCAACGGCTGAAGGAACAGGATCCATGGATGCATTTTTGTGAGTAGGATTAGAAAAAAAAATACATGCAAAACATTTACTGTGGTACACAGCACAGAATCACAAATAAGCGAGTATGAATAATGTGTCTAAATAATCTAGTATTTCTCTTCATAAAGTGATTGGCGAGAGAGAAATGAAACAAAAACTTCACAATCCCCTTTCTCAGGTTTATATAAACTGGGACCCGTCCAGTTTCTGCACCACTGAGATTGTATGTAACATGTCTGTCATCAACACAGAAGAGGCCATTCTACCCATCAGGCCACCGAGGAGGGACCAGCTGCCCACTTGCACATCTGGATGAGATGCTCAAGGCTTTTAGAGACAAGTTTTGAGGTAATTTTCTTTAATGGATCCTGATATTCTGCAGGAGCATACTCTGAGGACAGCTATGGCAGCGGCGAGCGTCACGTAGGCTAGGTGCCTTCTGGGCGTTGTTGCGTTTCATCTTCTAACAGCCAAGTGGGTCCGCAGCCACGTGAATCAGACATTATCACTGTGTTGTGGATAAGAAAAGTGAGATTAGAGCAGACACCTGGTGATTGTGCACCCAATACCCTCCTTTCACGTCAGCCAAGCTCAATTTCATCGAATCTCCTGCCCATCCCACCCCAAGTGGGTCTGGTTTACATGCAGATTTGGGAAACCCGGAGAGGAATTCCATTCTCCCTGGCTTAGGTGGAAGCTAAGCGGCCTCGTGTTCAACTGTTCTTAAGAGAAGTCAGCTGGGGGATGGGGCACACTCTCTGGAGAAAGGTCACCAGCTCATGAGAGAGAGGAAAAGCAGGGAAGAATTTTTTTTTTCTTTCATCAGACCTCCCATCTGAGTGTGACTCGGGGGAAATGAGAAGTTAATGACATCACTGAGACATTGTAGACAGACTAGAAAGACGGTCAGGACCTGGGATCTTCTTGATGTTCTGAAACGATTTGGTTGTCGGTCCTGGAGAACTTCTGCGTAGGCTTTGTAACAAATGAAAGCTACTCTTCTGGGGGCTGTAGTTTCTGCCACTTGCTTTCAAAGGCTTTTTAGTGGAAATTCAGAGATGGCCACACACCTAAGAAATGACAAAACTGGGTATCAGCCCGCCTGCCCTCCCTCCTTACCTCCATCCCTCAGCTCTGGTCCTCTGGCCTGAAAACTTGAGCAGTTTACCTGTACCTTCGGTTACTCAGGAGGGTCACCAAATGCAAGGGGACGAGGTCAGACACACTGTCCCCAGGCGGTCCTTGCTCCCACTACCAAGGCCCTTCCAGACTGAAAACCTGCCTCCTTACAGATTTCCTACCCGGTCCTGTCTTCTTCGCCTCCTTCCCCCTGCACTGTCCATCACTTTCCTGTCAAAGGGCTCGTTGTCTCATATTACTTGATTTCAGAGTTTTAGGACACAGTTACATCTGCTTTTTCCTTATGCCATGGTTGAGCACCACATAGTCAGTTTAATCACCGAGATAAAACACCTGAGAAGAACAACTTACGGGAAGGGGGGCTTTGCCCATGGCGGCAGGAGTTTCAGTTTTTGTGGCAGGTGGGGCACGGTGGGGCACTTTGAAGCATCACAGATAGAAGACCCCAAGGCACATCCCCACTTCTTCCAACCAGACCTCACCTTCCACAGTCCCATCCCCTCTCAATAGTCTATTGAAATTTTGGATACACAAAGGGGTTAACCCACTCACTAGCTCAGAGTCTGTGCACACCATCACAGACACATCCAAAGGGATGCTTCATCAGCCGAGGCGTTTCTCACTCCACCCAACTTCACAAGCAAGATTAAATATCATAAGCACTGTGAGCCTTCCCAGACAAAATAATAAAGGACTGTATACTTTTTAAAATTGTAGCAGAAAGTGTGTGTGTGTGTGTGTGTGTGTGTGTGTGTGTGTGTGTGTGTGTGTGTGGTGTCGGGACTCAAACCCAGGGCATTGGGCATTTACCATTGAGCTACAGCCCCAGCACGCTCTTGCATTCTCTCCCCCACTCGCACCCCCCCCCCCCCCGCCCCCGGAATGTGATGCGAACCAGCCTGAATTTGGTTCAGTTATCAAGGCTAACATTTTAGATGTAATTTTTGCCCTGCTCTCACTGGTTAGAAGAGCAATCAGGCATTGCCAAGCCTTCATCTCCAGCACAGTTCACTCTGAAAGCATAGTAATCAGCATCTTCTTGTTCCCCCTTTGTGGGAGCCCGTTTTCAGGTTCCTCGTGCCTTTACCCAGCAGGTCCGCATAGAGAGGATGATTGGACCACGGGCCTGAGTGCAGGTGTCTGAGATGGTCTGCACTTGGCTGTGCTGGGGGGAGGTCTTCTGCTCCACCCCTTGGCATCTCTATAAATACCCTAGGGCAGAGACAGTCAGGGCCCGTTGGAATAGGTTCCAGGCCCTCTAGAGGCTATCCTGTATTTTCTATCTTTATCTCCCCCATCTAAATCCTTAGATCTAATATTTCCTGCTGCTCCTACTCAAACACTCTGGGGAAATGTGGGGATAGTGGGTAGCCCCCCACACCTTTTGTAGTGAGGTTCCCCCCTCCCAGATGTTGGTTGAATCAATGTATCTAAAGAAGGCGCCCAGGAAACGTTAGGAGATTCCCCCCACCCCTTGCAAAAAAAAGTTCTACGCTACATTTGCATTAGGTGAGGCCAATTGCAGGGGCCAGTGCAGAACAGGATTGGAGTATTAAATTACTTTGTACTCAGAGAGAAGACTACTACAGGATCCTTTTTTAAAAGGACACAGCCTATTGTGGATGGATACAGGGCTCACTCTAAAATAGACGGGTATGACGAGAGAGAATCCAAATGCAGAGCGTGGGGCACAGTGCTTCTGTTGGTCAGGGTCAGACAGACCACGGTGCAGGGGCGATACAATCATCAAATTGTAATGGTTTGACACAGCACAGTTTAATGTCTAGCTCATTCTTTATGCTCAGTACGGGTTGGCAGAGGATCCTCCTGCCCCTATTCAAGACTGAAGAGCTGTCTATGACTGCCATGTAGCCTGTCAGCTTCCAGAAGGTCTTGCTGTGTCGCTATCTCAGACTGGAAATGGCAGCCTACCTGCTCATAGCCATTGCCCAGGGTTCTTACATGGACCTCTCTAAAGTGAACCGTGATATTCTGTGAGTCCACAGAGGAGGAAAGAACCTCTTACCCCATGGCTTGTGGTCCTACACTGAATATAAGGGAAGGGGCTGAGCACCAGCTTCCTGCCTGGATGCCTCACCTTTCCACCACCATGCCTGTAGCCAAGATGTACAGCATTCCCTCTTAAACACGACCCCAAATATGCCTTTCCTTCCTTAGGTTTCTTCTGTTGGGTGTTTTTTTTTTTAATTTTGATTTTGATTTTTTTACAGCAATAAGACGGGTAACTAATACACCCAGCTTCCTGCTTTCCTTCTAAGTAGAGGTATGGTTGTGCTTATGTGCACAGACTGGGGGACCTGTGCTCTCTTGGTCCTCCATAACATTAAACTTCAGCAGAGCTTGGTTCACTCAAGCTGGTCTCCAGCCCGGGGAAATTATAGTTCTGCCTGTTATCTACCTCCATTCCTTTCCCACATAAACATAAGGCTAGTGTTCCATGCTGACCTCTCAAAGACCACACCCTAAGTCCAGCCATTGATTAGATCACAGAGTAATGTTTTCATAAGAACACACACACACACACACACACACACACACACACACACACACACACACACCAGACTACTCAGGCTTTTGACATCAGCACACAAAAACATACCCTGAACAATGTTCTAGAGTCTTCCACATCAGTTTCCCCAAAGACCTACAGAATAGGCTCAAGCCCCACACCGGGGACAGGCTATCTCCTTTTGTGTCCTATTCCCTGAAACTCTAGTAGCAAGACACAAAACCCAGCAATGCCAACTATCACTTCCAGAGTCGGGGTCACGGGTGTGCAACCTGCACTTTCAGAAAAGGTCCCTAGGGGGCACCCTTCGTCAACTGTTACGAAGGGTCTAGGGTAGACAGATGTGGTCGCAGGCCCCTCTGCCGGTTTACCAGTGTTAATTTCCAACCAGTGTGGGTGATAGTGATGTCCCAAGATGGGATTGCTTGGACATGTATATTCCCCAACCCTTGTACAAGAGAGATGGGTGCATAATTTTCTCACTGGTGGTTCTGTCTGGGACATTTGCCCATGTCTACTGGAATGTGGGACAGTGTTTGAGTGATGGGCTTCTCCTATTACCTCTTAGGCAGGAAGAGGAGGAAGAGAGAAACAGGAGGTTTTGTGGAACTCTTCATGATAAAGAATGAGAAGATTCGGATCTTTTGCAATTGCTAGAGTCTATCATTCTGTCACTTTTACTCCTTATGTTTCCAGAATGTAGTGTTTAAATTCCAGTCAGGCCAGCCACACACCCTCCCTCTGATCCAAGCACATATTCATAAGCATCCATCCACTCAGCTGAGTGCTGGGTGATCCCAAAATATTGCCATGATTGTCTTCCTGTGAGCTGGAAGCTCTCGTCATTAGAACCATACTATTCTGGAAAAATAATTGCATCCTATTGTGATCTGAAAGCCAAATCTACCAATGACCCATCTAGTCCAGGACGCTATCACCTACGAGTCTTGTCATACTAAGTGTAAAAGGGCTCACTCTCTTTACTGGACAATCATCTTACTTGATTTTTTTTTCAGACTCCCTCATTGCTTTCTTCACTGGGTTGTTTTTTTACTCTGGTGCAATCAATAACATGCTCCACAGCGAGGTACGGTAGCTGCTCCCTAAGCACCTGAGGAAGGGCCAGGTGACGTTACCCCCAAATGCAAGGACTTAGCTTTCCTTGGACTTAGCCTTGACTAGCTCAAAACAGGAGATGAGAGAGAACTAAAAACTCACATCCCTCGTCTCTCCCCTCCCTGAAACATCTCCTCAAAACCCTTCAGGGAAGTCACGTGTCAAAAGCAGACACCTGGCGCCACTTCTGTCACTGCGGATGCTATGGCCAGACATGTTTCCCACGGGTTTAAACACTTGGTCCCAACCTAGTGACCTTGCTTTGGGAAACTGTGGAACCTTCAAGACAGAAGGCATGACTGGCAGAGGTGGGTTACTAAGAATGGGTTTTGGGGGGTTATGGCCGAGGCCCACCAACTTTTGGTCCCATGCTCCACTTTCTGGTCAACTGAGATGTGTAACAGTGTGGCAAACACCAAGCACGCCAGCCTGCATGCTCTCCCTGCCGTGGGCTGGCCTCTGAAACTTCAAGCCTCCATGCACTGCTCCTCACTCAAGTTGCATCTGGTGGGCATTTGTCACAGTAACAGGAAAAACAGACCAGACAGGGAGCTCGAGCCAGCATAGCACATCGTACTGTGTGGCATCACATCGTTCCTGAGTCCACTTCTAGTACTTTCTATCACACACACACCATGCTGAGATTGCCTCAAAAACCACGTCCATAGTTTATTCTCTCCCCTTCTAGAAGAGCAAGGCTATGATTGTCCCTCTGACAGACTTTCAGATTATCCCAGTAAACAGCACCTTTCTGTATAGGATTCTAGACTAAGTGAAGAAAAGAGAAACACTATATACACACATGCTTTAAAAATCAAAGTTCTAAGAAATTGCCTATGATAAGAACCATATATATCTATAGATGTACATATATTATACATATACTTGGTCTGTGTGTGTGCTTAATCCAGCCAAGGCTTGCACCTTTATCCTGTATTAGACTGGGGACCACTTGGCCATGTAGTAGCGACTTGCTCAGATAAAATTGACCACAGTCAGTGGCAGGGCCGAGAGAGGCTCAGAGTTATGGTAACTAACCACCTCCTTCCAGAAGCAATATAGAAAGAATTCCTGTTCCATAGCTGATTTGCTCTCAGGAGACTTAATGGCATCCAAAAGGTCCATGGTTTCCAGTGAATGAAAGCCGTTAAAGGCAAAATAGGTTGTCATCAAATCCAGGGCAGGGAGGGACCCCACTTCACCTACAACAGAGATAACGTTGTCATGGAAGCTTTCAGAAGGGTTCCTGAGATCACCCTGTTTAATGGACGCAAGCTGAACATT